CTGCTCACTACTCACTAATTCCTGCTCGCTACTCTTAACCCACTACGCGCTACTCACTACTCAATACTCACTACTCTCATCTCGATACTCACTACTCACTACGCACTACCACTACCCACTACTCATTTTTCACAACCGATTACTCACTACCCACTACTCACTACTCCCTATTCCGTACTCCCTGTTCAATACGTAGTACTCATTACTCACTACTTACTACTCATTACTCTCTATTCTCTACACACTGCTCACTACTTACTACTCACTATTCAAATCTCACCACTCACTACTACTCACTACTCACTACTACTCAGTACTCACTACTCACCACTCACTACTCACTACTTACTACGCACTATTCCTTACCCACCTTCTCCGGCGCAGCAAGGACCAGCGGGAGAGGCACCCTCGCTGGCTGTTTTTCCAGCGCAAAGGGGGGGAGAAGGGGGAGGGGGTTTCAATCCCCCCCCGTCCCCCTTCCAGCGCCACGGGAGGGGGGGTTGTTCGGACCCCCCCCCATCCCCTTCAAGGGAAGGGGGCGGGTTCAGACCCCCCCTTTAAGGGGGAAGGAAGGGGGGGGTCGAACATCTCTCCACCCATTCGAAGGATGGGGGTCCGAATCCACCCCCCTTTTTAATTTTTGGGTCCTCCAGTGGCGAACTTTCGTAATATTCAATAGTGTCAACCCACAGCATATTAGAGAGAACGCGTTTCACGGGCGCTTGCCTTTGGAACATTCGGCGGCGCGTTTCGAACTGGGGGGTGGGTCCCCCCCCCAACACTCGGAACCGTCGATCAAAACCAAAGGGAACCCCCCTCCCCCCTGAACCCCCCTCCTCCCGAATCCCCCCAACCTCCCAAGAGCGGGGAGGGTTCAAACCCCCCCCCCCCATTCGGCGCCAGCGCCGGCGCTGGCGGCCGCCAGCAGCGCCGACGGCGGGGACGCAGCGACGATGACCAGAGGCAGCCCAAGAGAGTGGTAGGGGTTGAACCCCCCGTAGCGCCCCCTACCCCCACGGGGTGGGGAGGGTTTGAACCCCCCCCTGGCGCCAGCGCCGGCGCTGGCGCCGGCGACGGCGGGGACGCAGCGACGATTACCACCACTACCACTATTACCATTACCACTACCACCACCACCACCAAACCACCACCACCACCACCAACCCACCACCCAACCACCACCACCACCACCACCACAGCCACCACCACCACAACAACCGCCACCACCACCACCACAACTCACCATTACCACCACCTCCACAAAAACACACCACCACTACCACCACCACAACAACCTACCACACCACCACCACCACCACCAGCAGCACGACCCACCGCCACCATCACGAACCACCACACCACAACCACCACCACCACCGCCACCAGCAAACCCTCCACAAACCACCGCCACCATCACAACTCACCACCACAGCCACCACAAACCACCACCACGCCACCACCACACCACCACAAACACCACAAACACCACCGCCACAACATCACAACCCACCACCACCACCACAAACCACCAAACCACCACCACCATTACCACCACCGCCACCGCAACCCACCACCAGCACCACTTCCACAAACCAACGCCACCATCACAACCCACCACCACCACCACAAGCATCCACCACACCACCACCAAACCGCCACCACCACGACCCACCACCACCAACACCACAAACCACCACCACACCACCACCAAACCACCACCACAAACACCACCACCACCACCCACCACCACAACCACCACCACCACAACAAACCACCGCTCCACCACCAACACAACCGCCACCACCGCCACCACCACCACCACAACCCACCACCACCACCACCACCACCGTCGTCCTCGTCGACGCTCCCCGCAGCCGCCGCCCGCCGCCGCAGGCGCCGGCGCTGGCCCAGAAACCGAAATCGTCGTCCCCGCCGCCACCGCCGCCAGCCGCCGCCGATGGCAAGCGCCGGCCCGAGGAGAGGGGAAGCAGGGGAGGTAGTGGGGGGTGGTTCGACCCCCCCCCCCCTCTCCGTCACGGGAGGGGGGGGGGAGAGGGGATTCGAAACTCCCCCCCCCCTCCATCCAGGGGGGGGGGCGGGGACCGGTTCCAAACCCCCACCCACCTCCAAACGACCACAGAACGCGCTCTTCGCATATAAGGATGTGAGGTAAGGATGCAAGGGCCCTGGAGCGCCATGTGAACGTTTTCCGAACGAGGTTGGCCAGCGAAAGTCGCCAACGATGGGCCGAAGGGGCAAGGATGCAAGGCTAGCCTTTGAAAGTGGCTCATTCCGACCATGCGGGTTGACTGTAAGTCAATGTGAAGCATTTCAAGCTCCTCAGACGAATTAGTGATGCGTGCTTTGAACTTTTAAGCTATCCAGGGTGGCTGCGACCCCCCCCAAGAACGCCCCATGTGACATACAAAACTATGCGGGTTGACTGTAAGTCACTGCGAAGCAATTCAAGCTCATCAGACGCATTAATTATGCGTGCATTGAACTTTTAAGCGATCCAGGGTGGCTGCGAAAGCCCCCCAAGAACGCCCCATGTGACGTACAAAAAACTTCCAGGACGGACCCAAGAGACGGCCGAAAGGCACCCAAGATGGCACCCCGAAATGCACCCCAGATGCAAGACACATCAAGAACAAGATGGCACCCAAATCACACGAGACATCGAGCAACACGGAGAAGGCCAGGAGCGAGGGGCCCCCGAGATGTCCTAAGCATGCGCCCAGGCCGAAGCCTCCAGAGAAGACGCGCGCTGAAACGTGTGGCGGCACCGGCAACGTCGCGCTGCAAGGCACTCCTGACTGGCACCCTGCAAGGATCTCCAGCATTGGCAAAAAGAGAACAATGCACCTACACTTGGGTCGGGCATGTCCCCTTACAGGCCGATTTCCACGAAAAGAAAGACATAGCCAAAAAAACTCAAACATGCTCATGGCCGGGCCCGTCCTGAGCCCGGGGGTCGGTACACACGCCCTCCCGACTTGGCCCCGGAATGCGAATGCACCGATCCTCGGCCGAGCATGGGCCTGGCCAGGATCGGTGCATCTGCACACTGTATAAAGGTCAAAAAATGTACTCCCATACTAATCACCCCGACACGCGAAGTCGTCTTAAACGCGACCATACAAGGAATTTAATAGGAAAGGGCTGTTTAATAAACGCCCAGGGCCGTGTAGTGAACGCCAAATGTCGGGTCCCGGTGGTTTTCCCTCCCTTGACCGTAGAGGACAGTCCGCAAGAGACCCCCGCAAGAAACCAAAAACTCTGGAACCCCACGCTGATTTGTTTGGAGTGGGAGCGCCACGCCTTCCGTCGCAAAATCATCGAAACCCAAGAAGCTCAGGGCACCCTGAAGGCAAGCAGGGTGCCTGTTGGCATGGGCCTGGCCAGGATCGGTGCGTGTGCATATCGGGAGAGCCAGGAGGGGGGCGTCCACGGAGGGGGGGGGTGCAAATCATGGCCGGCGGCATGCGCGCGGCCCAGGGAGGAGGCCCGGGACGCAATGGAAGAAGGAGAAGAAGAAGGAGAAGAGAAAGGAGAAGAAGAGGCGCCATGAAACCTTGGGAAACATCATGGCCCACGCCATGATATCCCCCCCTGGTCACCCCCCCTCTTTGCCGCCCCCGAGCGCACTTTTTTTCGCCCGAAGCATGCTCGCACCGCGTGCGACCCGGGACCGACCCTCCCGGCATTCCTATAGGCCTTCTACGAGATGTTCTTAGAACCCCACAAATCTTCTAAAAACAACAGCAATGTTCTTAGAACGTCAGCCCGATGTGTTAAAACAAGACAGTCCCAGCCAGAATTGCTCTGAGAACATTTCGTGGAAATCACAAAGGGTTCTTAGAACATTGTTTGGTAGGCCTATAGGCGAGCCAGGACGCTTCGCAACCCCTTGACATTCTTCGCCCAAAGCATGCTCGCACCAGGCGTGTGACCCCTGCTGGGACCAGGGCTTGGCGCAGCCTCTTCCTGGCGCGGGCCCGGCCCCTCGGCCCCTCTGGTGGGTCGCCCCCATGGAGGGAGAGGCGGCCCCCGCGCACGGGCTGGGCCCGCCTGCCGCCGGCCGCGAGGAGGAGGAGGAGGAGGAGGAGGAGGAGGAGAAGGGGGAGGAGGAGGAGGAGGAGGTGAAGGA